GGGTCTTACTGTGAAGATCTGGAGGGCAACCAAAAGCAGTGCCTGTGGCCTGTAATGTTTGGGGATCTGTGGGACCATACTGGCCAACTAACAGAAGTTAACCCATTGCTGGCACTGCATTTTTATTTTTTTTAGCCTCTGGTTGTAGGAACATTGTTACCCTTTTACAGAGTAACGCCATTTTAACTCTTTATGCATGTGTGTGTACTTTAGGAAGCTTTAGCAGTAGTAAGTTTCCATGTATCTTTTTCAAAAGGTCTTTAATGTTATCCTCTGCATAATCTATACCCCTCTTCTACCTTACAGTATGCTCCCCAGCTCCAGATTAACCCTTCCTGTTTTCATGTACCCTTGGAACTACAGTACAACTACACCACATGCCTTTGAACCAAGATAAAAAGCCAAAAGTCGTTAGATAATGCAGATAATAAAATAAAAGAATCACACATGAAGAATCTCAGGGTCTCGTTTTTTTTATACTTTAAATTAATTTTTTTAGACTTTAAATTAATTTTCGTGTTTTATCTGTACCATGTATATACTAACATAACCTCGTGCCTCTAGTTATTTATGCTTAAAAGAGCTGGTTTCTGAACAAACAGCTCTCTTCTTCCTACTTTCCCCTCAGGCATCACTCCTACCGGGGTGTGTGTGTGTGTGTGTGTGTGTGTGTGTGTGTGTGTGTGTTAGAGGTTGTCGTGTATATTACATAAAGCAGTCATTTGCCTAGTGATGGCATAATACATTGACACATTGTACCTCCTGTATTTCCTTCTGCTCTGCTTTTATGCCTTCATTTGTATTTGGTGACCTTTTGCTTTGTTTTGTCAAAATTAAAATCAAGATGTTTACAAAATCCATATACCTCTTCATTTAACAGATATTTCTTGTATACCAAATCCATAAAAAATGGTTTTTATGTAACAGTGAAATTGTGAATGTTCTATGTTTTACTTAGCTATTCCCTAATTGATTTAATTCTACCCTTGTAGTAGAGGTTAAAATTGTGGAATACTGGAAGATATAGCTTCCAGATTATCTGCCATTCCTTTATATTTTCCTCTTAGGTCAGGTGAAGTTATTGTAAGTATGCTTTTACTTATGAACAGCTGGGCATAGAACTACACTCCTGTAGTCCCAGCTACTCCAGACTGAAACGAGAGGATCCTCTCGATCTTAATTCAATGTGATCTTGGACAACATAGTGATACTTCTCCTCACCTCCCACCCACCATTGTATAAGATATTTGAATGGCGGCTGGTATTTGGGAACCATTCTGGAATCAATCCTCACTGATATTCAGAAGTGACTACTCCTTACCTGAACTACTTTCCTTTGGTCCCTCTGATGGACAACAAACCATGCTTTATATCATTTGCATCTAATTTGATTCTAACATGCTTTTTTATAATTCTCCATCACTGCTGTAACTACCTTATCCAAGCTGTCATCGTTTTTCACACGAGCTGTAGAGGCAGGCTGTAAATGATGTTCCTGTTTCATTTCTTGTCCATGCTAACCGCTGGTTGGTTGGTTGGTTGACAGGACATTGCTGCATAGCCCAGACTGGCCTTGAACTCTCAAGTCTCCTTTCTTGGCCTCCTGAGTGCTAGGATTATAGGCATATACCATCTTTTCTGGCTTTTTATGGAGACATTATAAAGGAATATAGTCTCTTTCCAGGTTCCTTTTTATCTCTTCTACACTCGTAAGTTTGAGAATTATGGAATCTTGATAAATAGCATTATCTCCACTTGGTAGATAACATTTTCTCAGGCTGAATTAGGTACATCTGCCTCAAGCCAGCTCTTCTGGAAATTTACTGTATAGCCCTTTCTTCTAATGGAAAAGTACAGCAAAACCTTTTGGTCAACACAGGCCTAGCATATTCATAGCTCTTAGAGCCTATAGATGTTAGTAACCGTAACCTTACATTTTCCACTTGTTGTACCTTCCTCAATAATCACTATATTCTAGAAAGCGTTTTCAAAATGAAATGTCATATCTTGTATGGTTTAAGTTTTCATTAACTGGGATCATAACCTTGTATATGGTTACAGTAAGTTGAATGTTTAATTTTTGTGGAAGTGTTTGAATACTGGTTTTGCTTTTATTGTCTCCTAAACCTTTCTTATCAGCTATTCCACCTGGGCGGTCTTAAATTGACTATCTACCTTCTCATTATTTTATCTAAAACTAAATTGAAAGCTGAGAAAAAAAGCTCTATCTCATACATTTTGGATATCCATAGTATCTCTTCAAGCCAAGCACAACAATCAGTAATAATCCATATTTACTACACCTGCATGTCTATCATCTGTAACACAAATTGCTAAACAGACTTATTAATAAAACGCCCGGAGCAAGACAGTGGGGTGAAAGCTGAAAGATCAGAGGAATAGTACAAGCCAGCCACAAGTTCCTACCACTAGGAAATCCTCAGATTTCCAAGAGAGCTACTTCCTGTATACTCAACACCTTATATACCCTTCTGTGCCCTGCCGTCTTACTTCCTCTCTCCACCCAGCTCTATCACTTCCTGTCTGTCTGTAGAGGCATACAGACCTCCAGACCTCTGTGGCTGACTGGTACTGGGATTAAAGGCATATGCCACCTCACCTGGTTATGTTCCCAGTGTGACCTTGAACTCACAGAGATCTGGATGAATCTCTGCCTCCCGAATGCTAGGATTAAAGGCATGTGCTACCACTGCCTGACCTCTGTGCTTGATATAGTAACTGGCTTTGTCCTCTGATCCCCAGGCAAGCTTTATTTGTTAAAGCACAAATAAAATATCACATTTCTCCAAGTTAACATTTCAGAGTGCAAAATTATAGCTAAAGATATATCATTATGAAGTTATTATTTCTGTCTCTAACTAGTTATTATCCTGGACATAGAAAATTTGATGTTGCATCTGTGTTTAGATTATCCCAGAAGACAGGTAGCTGTCTCTTCAGTGTGTTATGGAAGATTCTCATTTTCATATGCTACTTGCTATAGGGAAGAAGTAGTCCTCTATTATGTTCAGTTGCCAGGTCACTGGAGATTATTCCCATTAGATATATAGAGAAAGAGTGGGGACAATGGCTATCTCTACTGCCCTGAGATTTTCTGTACCATTTGTTAACTTTTGTACGTTATTATGCTGACATGGCAAATAACACATTTATGTCCTTATTTCAACAATTCATTTGGTTTATATTGTAATTTATGGTCAGTCTTGGTAAACTTTATATCTATCATTTGAAAGGCATTGTTTGAAATGTATTGTAGAAATAACTATGAATTGATTATTGATAGAGTATTGGAAAGTAAGTAAACTACCCCCTTGTTAAAATTGTAATTCTTTAATCTGAAGCACTTTTTTTATTTCCAGAGCATTTCATTGAATCCTAAATGTTCCTATCATCTAATCCTAGAAAATCTTTTTTCTGTGCAAATGAATATATCTGCTTTTCAACAAGGTACTAATGTGCACACTACTTAAAGTGAGTTGCCCAAGGTCACTCACTGGGTCTTTGGTAAAACCAGAAATAGAATTCAAGTCTCCTGACTCCCAACTCAGTTCTCTATCCTCAATATAGTTTTCTGTCTTCTCTACCCCTGTGTCTCCCATGGGAAAAGAAGTTAATCTTCCAGCTATTATTAGCCACCAAATTGGTGGTAGCAGCACAGTGGAGAAGAGTGACTGTCTTTACACTGCAGCATTAGTATAAAAATATCTGGTAATGGAAAATTTGACAAATGTCATGTTAAAGGGAGTGGAAAATTATTTTAAGATCTAGATCTCATTTATCTAGTTCTCAGAAAAGTCAAATTCCTTAGTAGAATGGAGATCATTATTTCTTCCTGTTTTCAAATTGTATTTCCTAGAGGGTAATTGTCAACTATCATAATAAGAGTAATGCACATACAGCTGGTAATTGCCATACATGTATTTTTAACTTAGCAGGAGTTCTGAATTGCCCTACTAAAATGCATAGGTTCTGCTATCAGTATTTACATAGTATTAACTAATAAAGCAAATGTAACATCAATTGGGAGCTTTTCTGCCTGATTTTAAAAATGCATGGAAATAATACATAATTGTTTTCTGTGAGAAGTTATACTAAGCTAATATGCTTCATGTCAGGTCTCTTGAAGTTCATTGCCATGAAGCAGGTATATGTAAGATAAATATATTAGAATTCATGAATCCATTTTTATAAACTGGTATTATTTTGGACATTAATAAAAGACATTTGAGAAACGTTTGTATACTTATATGCTGAGAGTATTTCTAGGACTCTGAGAATTCACTTTAAGTTCTACCAGAACAACTTGTCTTATAATTTTGGATCAAGCACCAAAAATTGCCTTAGTGTGTTTCTATTAAAGATTACTAAAAGCTCTTAATTAAAAGGATTATACAGTCACAATTGTTGTAAGTATTTTTAAAACAGAATTTGTGGAGGTGTTGACAAATACAAAGGAAAAGGAGATTTTCTTGGGTATTTCTTTCTTGTTTATCTAGACAAGACTGCTTCTTAGTCCTAAGAAGCAAGTATTATTTGATATTTGGATAATTATTCACATCTGTACCTACCAACATTCTTGTTCTTAACCCTAGGACAAACATGAATACTGGAAATTGCTTGTGAATTGATAGAAATAGTTGGAAGTTTGATTTTATGATTACTCAGTACCTAAAGATAGCTATACATATATATCTATTGGCAGTCAGAATTCATACTCTTAAATCTATACAGCAAATTTACTATTAAAGTTGTTAGTAATTAGCCATATTTTATTCCTTTCCTACTTAGTTATTCTCTTTAAGATTTCTGTTAGTAATTAGCCATATTTTATTCCTTTCCTACTTAGTTATCCTCTTTAAGATTTCTATCAAATGGTAGATGTGCTCTTAGTGATTTTATTTTCTTAACCATTGTAATTTTTGAAATAACTATTGAGGCAACATTATTGAACTTTTTAATTTTATAATTTTATTGAACAGGCACATCCTCAAGTGAACCTAACTTGCTTAATATTACTCCACAAAAAAGAACCAGAAGAAAATTAATACCTTCTTCCTTGGACATAAAACATACTCAGAAGTCTATACTGTCTGAAAGTACACAACTCAATGATTCTTTCAGCAAAGAACTTCAGCCTATTGTTTATACCCCAGAGGACTGCAGAAAACCTCTTCAAAACCCATCTCCAGCCTTAATAAGACCTTCATCACATACTACAAATATGATCAATGATAATTCTCTGAAAACGCTGTGTGAAGTAGATTCTCCTCTCAACAGGAGAACAGAGTGTAAACAGGATTTGGACTCTACATTTACTATATGTGATGACATCGGGAGCTTGAATAAATTGCCTGAACAAGAATCACTACAAAACAGCAAAAGCAGTTTAAATAGGTACAGAAAGAGAATACTTTACAATCCTTTTTTTTTTCCAAAGCCTTTGAAACTGTTAATGTCCTTTCTCTTCTTTGTTTATATGGGAGGATTACTTCATAGATCAAATGTCCTCTCCTTGTTTTAAAAGTTGCTCATTTACTACAGGTTAATTGAGTATGGATACACTGACCACTTTTTTAGATCATAAATTTGATATCCGATGTTAATTGACCTTCCTTAAACTAGAAGAGACCTTGAGATATATTTCATCTGTGTTCCTTATTCTGATACTGTGTAACCTAAGCTATCAGTGAAGGTCTACCTTGCTTGCTATTAGTCATCGTTACCTCACTTAAGGAATATCCAAAATTCAGCATAGCCCAACATCCAGTGTATGAGTGAATGCCATCTAAGCAAGCATTCAACTACATAATTCCAGCCAATCTAAACGTGGGAGAAAAAATACCTCTACATTTCTTTGCTTTGAGAAACGCAGAAATGTTTTCATATCATCACTGGTGTTTTTAAAAAAGAAAATGCAATTGAGGGATCTTTTTATAGAGAGGAATATCTTTCTATGTGTATTAATATCAATGGTTTCCTGATTATAAAAGTGTAAATCATTTTTCTCTTTGTAGTATATATCAAATCTGTTCTCTTTTAATTCTTCATTCTTAATGTCCAGGCTTGAATCTTCCTCATTTTCAACTAAGGATTCTAGGCCTGTATCGACAAGTGTGCCATCCTACATGGCCATGACTACTGCTGCAACAAGGAAAAGGAAGTTCATAAGGTATGATTAAGCATGTGCTCTTTCAGTCTCTATAGAAGATCATCTTTATACTTTCATTTCCCACAATTTCAATTATGGTCAGACTCTCAGTTTTTAGTTAATCCTATCTATGCTAAGTACTCAGTGAAGCCCTGGATTTATGTTATTGAAAGGGAATCTGAATGAAGCCCAAGATTTCACTTGAAGTTTATATAAAGTATCCCATTTTTAGGTTATTAAAAATGATTTGAAAAGTCTTCTAGCTTCCAGACTGTCGCTTAGCTCTTACTTTTATTCTGACAACAGTTGTTTATTTGTTTGAGTATTTTACTTGTTCAAGTAATACAATCTGTAGTACAAAGGTCCACGGTCAAAAGCTATAGTAGAAGGGGGCCTGTTAAACACCCCAGGATTGTATTTGAAATCCTTAAGGTGCTGTGCCCTAGGATTAGGACAAACTAGAAATAAACCAGTTCTAACAAGCTCAGAGATCTTGGACCAACTCAGTCTTTGCTTAAATTCAGGTGATCTGTCTGTTCTATAGTCTTCTACACTAAAATTTAAAATCTCTAGAATATGCTATCTAGAACCTATGCAGATGTTCATACATAATTTTACACCAAAACTATGGAATGTGAAGAAGGAAAAGCAATCAGAGAAGCAATGATCCATAGATAAGGATGAGTAAATAGGAACTATTGATTGTAACCATGATTCATTTCAACAGATTAGATAAGGTTCACCAAAGAACAGTATTTTGTTAAAATTAATCAAATAAATATACTAGAACCACAAAGATGGATTTTATAACTATAAATATTATAAGATGAAATTTATAACTCAATCAACCAGTTCAATGGATTAGTCACAACAAAAGAGAGTATTAATGAGCCGGAGGGTAGGTGCATAGAAAAATGCCTAAACCAATAAAGGAAGAAACAGAAGTTTGGAGGAGACCTACAGAACCCTAATTATTTAAGTCTGGAAATAGTATTTTCAGTCTCCAAAAGAAGAGAAAGAATAGAGAAAAACAATACTTGAGAACATAGTGGCTAATGGTTTTCTAAAGCAGAGTTGACAAAGGCCATTGAATCACCAATTTGAGAAAGTCCTAAAAACGCAGAAGTGGTTAGCACAATAGCCTAGTTGTACGATGTCGTGGATACAATAACAAAATGTACTAACTACATACGAAATGTTCTGATTTTTCCTACCCCTTTTCTTTCCAATAGTGTACAGAGGAAAGTATAACAACTAAAGTTAATTCTTCTAAGTTTCTTATTTAGGGCACAGGAACAAATGTACAAATAGCATAGTTATTCACACTTCATGAAGTACTTTCTCATAAATAAATTTAGAATCTTCTCTTGCCCTTCCAAAACATGGGACAGAGGAACCTTGAAACATAGATGAATTGATTTTTCCTGACTGTCTTTATCTGTGACGCTTAAGCAGTGATACAGTAAGTCCCCTCAACTCATGGTTTTGCTCTCTGTTTCAGAAACCAAAAGTCAACCAAGATTTGAAAATATTAAATGAAAAGTTCCAGGAATTAACAAATTTTCATTGCATGCCATTCTAAGTAGTATAATATAGCAGCCATCCCCTTATCCAATATCTCCATGCCATATTTGCTACCTACTGTAAACTACTTAGTACCCACATTTAGAACTGTCATGGAATAAGCAGAGCTCAGTTTCACATAGCACTTACTCTACAAAAGAATTTCCGGTGTACAAAAGACAACTGACTGATTCTGGTAGCTGGATATTCCAAACAGAAGTCCTAAGCTGCTTCCTTTAAGCTAAAAGTAGAAGTTGATCCTAAGTGTATTTTAGGTTTAATCCCATCCCTGCTTTCGGGACCCCACTCAGTGGCAGTCTTGTAATAGTGCTCCATGTTCTCTGGGCCAGTAGGGACTGCTGCACTTTGCTCAGGTGTCAGTCTGAATTGTGCTGTTAGTCTGGCTCACTCTGTTAGACTAGTGAACTGTCAGCATCTGTTTCAGCCACCCGTTCCCACTGATTAATATTAAGTTTTCTGGGTTTTTATGTGCTCCCGTGTTTTTATTAAAATGTTGCAGATGTTTATACTAAGACTCTTATTAGAAGTATAAACATGGTCATTATCAAATACATGTTTTCTTGAAATGTCTGCTTGTGTAAATTGTGTGTTTGTGAGTTTATATGTGTTTAGGACTGGCACATGAGAAACCAGTACTGTGAAATAATATTAAAGAATATAATAAAGAAAGTAACTTGACTATTCACAGAGTATTAGTTACTACTCTGTCCATTCCCTCTGGTATCAATAATTAGATCCTGCCATTAACTAAGGTTAAAAGAGATTAATGATAGATGTGTACATAATTACTTTTTTTTTTAATCTTCCTTTTCCCCCAATTAAAGAAAGATGAGCTTGAAAGTAATAAGCTCTGGTATTTTCCACTTAGTAGATTTCATGTACATATTTAGGGGTGTATATGTTCTAATGCGCTTTTAAAATATTAAAATCTCCCCATTGTACTTTATCTACTGTTAATTTTTTCTTTAAAAAAAGGAAAAATAAAGTCCAAAAGTTCTAGATATTCCAAAATCTACCAAACTGAATTTTATCTGTTGAAATTGTAAATGAAATTTTAATCCTAACAATATTTTTAATTCTTTAACATCAGTGAATTTTTACCCCTTAGGATGTCTCTCCCATGCTGCAAATAGCAAACAGTGTTCATGTTCGTTCTGGAAGAGAAATATTCTGCAGAACTGTTACCTGTAACCAGAATTATCTTATCTAAATTATATTAGCATCATTAAAATCACAGATAACTAGATTTATTTTTAAGTACTTTTAGTGCCTCCAATTATGCAGGATTTCACAATTATTATTTCTGTATTTAATTTTTTATAATATATAGCATATGAATTAAGAAAATTTTTGAATGCCTTAACTAAAATAAACTTTTCTCCACAAGTTCTACATCAAATGCTCCATTAAAATCTGAAGAAAATCATGGATTTGCCAAACGCATTCGAAAGGATAATTCAAGTGATAAGCTCTTGCAAGAAAACAGACTGACATTGGGTATGTCTGAGCTGTTAATCTGATATTTAATTACATGATTATCTGTTATACATTTAGTACCTTGATTTTATGTCTTCATAAATATCTCCCTTCATATTTTGTGGTAGGATCGGTGTGATTTTTTTTTTTATGCATTGTAGAAAAGGAAACTTCAGATACGTTGTGAAGCCTGTAGTCAATATTGCACAAATATTAAAGTAGAGGACCAGATTTCCCAACCTGGTACTCTGCATCCTCTTTTTGTTGTATAGCCTACTTCATATTGCAGATACCTAATGATTGAAGTAATAGTTACATGTATCACACAGTGAATCAATTACATATATATGTGTAGATAGCTAAATGTTTTGTTTTTGAGGCAAGGCCTTATTATGTAGTACAAGCTAGTTTTGAACTAGTTATTCTCTTGTCTCTGCTGCCCAGTGCTGAGATTACAGGCATGTACCACCCTGCCTAGCTCATTAACTATACTTTATAAATAAATTATATCCACTTGGAATTTTTCTCTCAGTGCTTATGTTTTTACATCTGACCTCTGAATCATGTATGTATTACTATACGGTCTCTACTTTGCTCCTAGCTATAATCATATTGTTACTCCCACTGACAAGTTGAAAAAAGATGTCAGTGAAGGATCTTACATACCCTCAGTCACATGTGGAGTGACTTGAGTCCATGGAAACAAAAGTCCTTCTGTTTGACTATGCATGGATTATATCAACCAGTTCTAGACCACAAGGCCCAGACCGGTCTCTGACACTCTGACTTCCTTCAAAAAGTACTCACTTATTAAGCATTCATCTTGTGCTACATCCCAGAATGAATACAAAGATTTGTAAGACTGGTTTCTTCTCTGGAGGAACTTATAGCACTTGGAATTTAAGAGTCTCATGAGATAATGTGTATGTCCCTGCATAACATGAAAGCGATTATTTTTCCTCAATAACTTTGCTAGTTCCTGTAATAACAATTGATACTTGTTTACTTTTTCAAAGATATGTCTATTGTATAGATTTTAAAATCAGACAATAGGTTAAAAATATGATTAAAGAGAATGGAGTACTTAGAGGTTATCAATTTTAATAGAAGATAAATATTCATAAAAATGAATATCTAAGCAAAAATAACCAAACACATTTTAAAAATTACTAGAAAGAAAATACAACTGCTTTTTTTAAAATCGTGTTCACCTGAGTTTCTAATAATGGACAAGAGTGAAACCACAAAGGCCAACAGTCGGGGGAAAGGCAAGTATTGTCAGCTGAGCAGTAGAGGAACAAGAAAATAAGAACCTCTAAAACTAAATCATGTGACCAAGAACATGTATAAACAACCTAAGTGGCAAAAGAATGAGGAGGTAGAGAGGCCCTGTTTGAGAGCAGAAAGGAAAAGACCCTGAGATTTGTGTCAGAGGCACAAACAGCAAAGTTTCAGAGATCTGCCTGAGAACATAATCCAAAGAATATGAAAACAGTGATCATACAAGAAAGGAAAGGAACAAGAGCTTATACACATTTTCTTCTGTTAATGAGAATGGGGAAACTGAAGTAGTTTATTCAGTGACTTTACTTACATCTGTTTATCAGAAGTGCTCACTAAACTTTATTTACATTATGAAGAAAGAGAGTAGAAAACTTTTAGCCAGCAGTATTAATGTTGCTCTGCTACTGTTGTATTTTTTCTCTTCTATATACATGTTAGTTTCTTTATTTCTATATATTTTTGTACAATGTACTTTGATCATATTTTTTCCCCTCACCCAATTCCTTCCATATTTTCCTTACCCACCCAACTTTATGTTTTTTATGGCTCTCTTTAAAAAAAATAAGAAACACTAAGAAATGTAAAAATATAAAAATCAAAACAAGCAAAAGACCAATAACACAAAAGAAATGCTAAAATAAAACAAAATTACCATTGAGTTCATTTTTTCTTGGTCAATTACTCCTACGCATAGGGCTAGCCCTAAAGTGTGGTTGATATATCCACTAAGACTCCATTGAAGAAAACTGACTTTCCCTTTGTCAGTGGGTATCAATTACAGATAGCTTCCTGATTAGTGATTGGAGTTGGTATTTACTTCCTCCTCTTAGTACTGGCACCCTCTCAGGCTTGAACCTAGGCTGGTCTTAGGCATACTGCCACAATCTCTGTGAGTTTGTCCGGACATCATTCCTGTCGTGTCCAGAAGACACTGTTTCCTTAGAGTCCTCCATCACATCTGGCTCCTTGAATCTTTCCACCTCCTTATCCTCATAGATCCCTGAACCGTAGGGGGAGAGCTTTAATGAAAACATCCCACTTAGAACTGAATGCTCCAAAGTGTCTCACTCTTTGCTCATTTTCCAGTTGTGGATCTCTTTGTTAATTCCCATCTTATGCAAGAAGATTCTGTGATATGAGTTGATATATAGATGTCATTAGGAGTCACTTTATTTCTCTGTTCCCTTAGAATGATAGTAGTAGGTTTTCTGTTAGGCCTATGACCTCAGGTTCTTGGCCACTTTAGCAGTGTCAGGTCCATACTCAGGTTATGTCTCCTTTAATGGGACTTAATTCCAATCAAAAAAGTGGTTGGTTACTCCTATATCATTTGTACCACTAATGCATCAGTATAGCTTGTAGGCAGGTTGTTGTTGTAGGTCACAGGGTTTATAGCTGCATGGTATTGATGGTTACCTTTCTTGTCTGGTAGCATGCAGAATCCTTTCCAATACTACAAATGCTAGCAGGGATGAAGCTTCTAGTTTAGGCACCAGCTTGAGTTCTCAGTGTTCTGTGGCATGAGTAAATGTTGTCTTTAGCAATAGGACCTTACTGTCAGGTTGTAGAGAGTGACCAATAGCCTTGACAATAGCTTTTGTTTGTTTGTGAGTTTCCAGGGGGTTTCTCTGACCAATAACCCAACAAGATGTAACCCATTCCTGGTGCTGAGGTTTTATTTGGTGTTATAAGATGTCTAGTTGAGGTATTTTCTCTCATTATTTGGTGACTCTGTTTAGATTTCTTTCATATATGTGTATATTTTTGGAAGTTTCTAATAGTAGTAGTAGATAGTCATATAGGATGTAGGGGGTTATTTCAATTTTCTCAATATCTTTTGAGACTTGTTTTGTACCCAAGTATGTGGTCAATTTTAGAGAAAGTGCCATGAGCTGGTGAAAAGAAAATATATTCTTTTGTGTTTAGATTAAGTGTTCTGTAAATATCTGGTAGGTCCACTTGACTTACAGCATTATTTAATTCCAGCATTTCTGTCCAAGTTTGTGTCTAGATGATCTGTCTTTTGGTGAAAGTGGGGTATTGAAGTCACCTATTATCAGTGTGGGACAGTAAATATATGATTTATAGTTGTTGTAGTGTTTCTTTTCTGAACGTAGGTGTCATTGTATTTGGTGCATAGATGTTTAGAATTGCAGCATCCTCTTGGTGGACTTTCCTCTCATGAGTATGTAGTATCCTTCCACATTTCTTCTGAATAGTTTCCGTTTGAAGTCTATTGTGTCAGATATTCAAAGGGCTACTACACCTGCTTGCTCCTTGGGTCCACTTTCTTGGAATACTTCTTTCCATTCTTTTAGGTGATTTCTATCCGTAATGGTAAGGTGTATTTATTGGATACAGCAGAAAGGTGGGTCCTGTTTTCTAATCTAATCTATTAGTCTATGTCTTGTTATTGGGAAATTGAAAATGTTGATATTGAAACTTATAAATGAGCTGTGCTTACTGATTACTATTACTTTGTTGTTATGGTGTGTATCTTTTCCACCTCTTTTGATTTATTGTCCTGGGACTACTAGTGTTTTCTTGAATGTCTTGAACCTCTTCAGACTGAAGTTTTCCTTCTAGTGCAGTGGTACTCAACCTTCCTAGTGCTGAGACCCTTTAATATAATTCCTTATGTTGTGGTAACCCCCAACTGTAAAGTTGTTTCATTGTTATTGCATAACTATAATTGCTACTGTTATGAATTATAATGTAAATATCTGATCTGCAAGATATCTGATATAACCCCCAAGAGGGTCACAACCCACAGGGTGAGAACCACTATTCTAGTACCTTCTATATAACTGGCTTGGTAGATAGTAAATGATTAAATTTGGTTTTATTGTGATTGTGTGTGTGTGTGTGTGTGTGTGTGTGTGTGTGTGTGTGTGTGTGTGTGTGTTTCATAGTTTTGCTGGGTATAATAGTCTGAGCTGACATCTGCCGTCTCTCAGTTTGTAGAACATCTGGCCAGGCCCTTCTGAGAAATCAGGTATTATTCTAATAAATCTACCTTTATATGTTACTTGGTCTTTTTCCCTTTCAGCTTTTAATACCTTTTCTTCATTCTATACAACTACCATCTGAATTGTTATGTGTCATGAGGAACTTTTTTTCTGGTCCTGTCTATTTGGTTGTCTGTATGCTTCTTGTACCCTTTTAGGCATCTCCTCTTTAGATTAGGGAAATTTTCTTCTGTGATTTTTTTGCTAAAAAAAAAGATCTGTGCCTTTGGTCTGACATTCTTCTCTTTCTATCCCTATATTTTTTGTAATTTTGGTCTTTTCATGGTGCCCCAGATTTCCTAGATGTTTTGTGCTTAGATTATTTTTAGATTTTACATTTTCTTTGACTGAGCTATCCATTTCTTCTACCTTGTTTCCAGACCTGAAATTCTTTCTTCAATGTCTTGTAATCTGTTAGACCTTCCAAGTTTTTCATTTCCAGTTTTATTTAGTTTGGGTTTTTCTTTAGTGATTCTACTTCTACTTTCATGTATTTAACTGTTTTTGTTAATTTATTCTTTTTTTGTGTGTGTGTGTTTTCATGGTCTTCATGAGGGCATTTATTCATATGTATTTTATTGTCCTTGCTGGTTTTTTTTTTAAGTCCTTGTTCTGTGTTTTGCAAAATTGCATTTCTCAGGGCCTACTGCCATAGGATTACTTGCTTCTTGAGGAAACCTACTGTCTTGGCTATTCATGGTTGGGTTTTTCAGCAGGGGATTTAGACATCTGGAGTTAGGATGTTTGAGGTCTTTCTTTGTATAGATGGCTGGTCTTCTTCTTTATTGGGTGGATATTCTGTTCTTTGGTTGCTGTTGGCAACTCTAGATGCTATGAAAGTGTGGTGGTTGTAGGGAGGATGCTTCTGCATCCCAGCCCTGTGTGGCCACTAGGAGTCCCTGGTAGAGGATGTCTCTGTGGTTTGGAGGCTAACACAAAGGAATGGAGATGGAATAGAAGGGAAGACTGAGAAGGTCGGGCCGGGGGGCGGGGGGGGGGGGGGGGGGGGGGGGGGGGGGGGAGCTAAGGAAGCCCTGAGTTCTTACCAAGAGATGGAAATCTCAGAAAATTTGTTGTATTTTAAATTGTGTTAATTAACCATGAATTTCAAGAGTAAATTTGTCAATAAATTGTTATATAAATTAACAATGAGTTTTGAAAATTTCTTTATATTTATTCATCTTTATTTCTTCTCTAGGTTATAAAAGAAACACCAACCAAGTAAATTCAAACATGCTTAGAAAATTAAGAAGAAACACTTTTAAAGAAAATGTTCGCTAAGAAGTGTCAATGTCCTTTGCCTGGTATTTGTCCCTGCTGAAATACATTTCAAGTCTCTGAAAGAAGGCAATCTGAAACTGTTTACTAAAATCTTTTCATCAAACAAAATGAAATTTCTGTCTTTTAAGTAAATATAAAATTACAACAGGTTATGTTTCCCATTTCTCAAATATTTGTTACTCTTGAAAATCTCTAGTCAGCATTATGTTAGTTTAGTTTTACTTTACCACAGCTTGATTAGGACATTTTAGAAAAAAGAGTGAACCAAATTACCCCTATTATTTTCAAAATAAGGAAATTTAGAAGTCATAAAACTATGGACAAGATATATTTGGTCTTCTGTTGTTTGTCAATATGTTGTTTTATACATACATGTGATTTTATGTTCAAAAACTTTGATGTAAAAATGTAGATATGTGTGTCCATAACATTGTAAATATTGTTTAAATACCTGTCATAAATAAAATACTAGTATTTTATTACTTGGTATATTAAAGATATAGATTTTAAAGTGTTTGTCTTCCTGTTTTGTTACAACCACTTACAGATTCTAAATGTTATTTTATATAAGTGTGAATTTTGCAGATTTGTTTTACATATTAGAACAAGGTAGTGTGTACTCAGACCAAATCTGTAAACAACCTATACATTTCTTAATAAGGAGGAGTTGTGAGAAAATATTTTAATCATTCCTGTTACTTTGGGGATTACACAGAGCTACAACATAATTACCTAACCTTGTTCACTTGTCTGGTGTGACCTACTTTTGTAGTCAAAAGTACACATTTTTGACTAATGCACTTTTAAATTTGTGCTTCAAAGGAATCTTCACACCAAATCAAATAACCATACAACTTATAAGACTTCTTAAGGCTTTTAGTTAGTCAATTGTTTGTACTTAAAAATCTAATTGAGAAAGCATGAGACAGAATAATCTTCACAGTTCCTTCTGTATTCGGAGGGGTATAGTCAAAATCTGTCACAGGAACTTGTCAAACTACTTTGTGGTTAGGGTTTTGGTCATGTTGGCTGTTTTAAGAATCACCTTTCCTGAACAGGTGGTGGTACACCTTTAATCCCAGCACTCAGGGGGTAGAAGCAGGTGGATCTCTGAGTTTGAGGCCAGCCTGGTCTAGAGAGTGAGTTCCAGGACAGTCAAGACTACACAGAGAAACCTTGTTTCAGAAATAATTAATTAATTAATTAATTTTGAAAAGAGCCACCTCCCACTTTGTATTTTCTTCAGATTACTTCAGGTAATTATATGCTTCAAAAGAAGTCTTTTACCACATGAATGACCAGATTAGTAAGATGGATCAGTACATGATGGCACATGGTAACCTATGTTTGATCCCTGGAACCTCGATAGTAGAAGGAGAGAACCAGCTGAAGGTTTGTCCTCTGTGCTCCACATGTGCATCACAGCATGTACATACCCACAGACACAAAAGTCACTATACCTGCCTGTTGTCCACCTCAAGCCATAAGCTATGTGATTTTCTTCCATATGAAATTTTTATCCAAGATTTTCCCTTTGCAAAATTATTTTACAAAACCAAGGAAATAGAAATAATGAATGTCTTATCATAAAAAACCTGGATCCTTTCAGGTGAGGACTCAGGATTTCAGTTGGAGGCTGCGGAGTTGGTGAGGTAAGAGGTGTTGGCTGTTGCTTGCTCTGCTTCTTTGATCTTTCAGCTTTCACCCAATATCAGGCTCTGGGTTTTTTATGATAAGACCTTTAGAAATTTGTGTTACATGAATATGAAAATATAAAGTTGTTTTAATATGTGAATAAATATCAACTTTGTATTGACACTTGTTGAGGAATATTATTTTAAGGTGTGTTACTTTTGTTTATGTTGCATTTGTTTAACTCTGAAGCTGTGATACTTTGCCTGTCTAAAACACCTGATGGTCTAATAAAAGAACTGAATGGCCAATAGCAAAACAGGAGAAAGGATAGGCAGGGCTAGCAGGCAGAGAGACTAGATAGGAAAAATCTGGGAAGAAACAGCAAGAAGGATCAAGGAGGATGACTTCAGGGGCCAACCACCCATCTACAGCCAGCCACAGAGTAAGAAGGAAAGAAAAGGTATAGAGGAATAGAGAAAGATAAAAGCCCGGCCAAAGATAGCCAGGATCATGTAAAGTTAAGAAAAGCTGGCAAGAAACAAGCCAAGCTAAGGCCGGGCATTTATAATTAAGAATAAGCCTCTGTGCATGATTTATTTGGGAGTTGGGTGGCGAGCCCCCCAAAGAGTTTCCTGTTGCCACTTGCTGGCAGCCTTGGTCAACCCCAATGTCTTCTCTAACATGGCGGCCAATCGTGTCTCCTTTGAGCCATTTACAAACAGTTGCAAGACAACAGAAAATTTCCACATTCTGAGCACTGCACGGAAAGTGTGGAGAGAAGACTTCCTCCTTTCACAGAATTATTCTAGGACCCACGTGCCAGGGTGGTGACTTCACAAACCATAATGACACTGACAGCAAGTCCATCTGTGGGAAGAAATTTGAGAATAAGAACTACATCCTGAAGCATTCATCTTGCTCATGGCAAACAATGGGCCAAACAAATGCTTCCATCTACGCTGCCAAGACTGATTGCTTAGGTGCCAAACATCTTTGGGAAGGTGAAAAAAGATGTAAATGTCATGGAAGCCATTGAACATTTTGAGTCCAGGAACGAACAAGGTGATCTCCATTGTTGACAGTGGACACCTCTAATACTTTTTTGACTTGCTTGCATATTACCCAATGTGCCATTCCTTCTGTAGCTCAGGAGACTGTCCCCACCCTCTCTGTTCACAATACCCATTAATTTCTGCTCTCACTAATCCTCCTTGGTTCCATATCTTTCCCCACTCCCCTCCAAGTCTAGATGGATTGCAGAGTTGTTTGATTATAAATCAAAGTTAGAATGCCAGGCGGTGGTGGTGCACACCTTTAATCCCAGCACTCCAGAGGCAGAGCCAGGTGGATCTCTGTGAGTTCAAGGCTAGCCTGGTCTACAGAGCAAGATCCAGGACAGGCACCAAAACTATGCAGAGAAACCCTGTCTCGAAAAAAAAAAACCAACAATAATATTAATAATAATAATAATAAATCAAAGCCAGATAAAAATAAAATTAAGAATTTTAAAAAGCATAGTTATGACTGGGATTTTATGAAATTTATATTTTGTGAATTTTATATTTACTCTTGCTTAACAAATTGAAATAATTTTCAACATAATACTATCAGTCACTTTTATTAAGACCTTGTAAACTTTTGGGTTTGGGGGTTGGGTTTTTTTTTTTTGTAAGATAACATTTTAAGATTATGCTTCCCTACTTTTCAAAATTCTTTAAAGAGCAAGTTTTTATGTGCCTGCAAGTTGTATGGCAAAAGATAGAATGCTGTCATAGTCTACTGCATTAGCAACACTGCAAGCTATATTTGTAAGCAGTTCTGCAAGTGAAGAAGTCCAAGGATCAAGCTGCTGGCATCCAACAAGCGCCTTCTTGAATCATCACAAAATAACTGCTCTTCAAAGTTTAGATTGAGTACTGAATTCGTCCTTTGTATGACTTCTTTAAAAGGTGGCAGTTGCCAGGCAGACCATCCTGTGGCATTTTCAGTAGTCCCTAAACCCTTACAAAGGGAAGTTATACCTCCAGTGACTAGTGTGTCAAGCAAAGAGCTATTAGAAAATGTTAGTCCTGAAGTATTTCTGTTAAATATGTGTCTGTGTCCCGAAGCACATCTAAGCCTAGACTAGCTAAAAGTAATTGGTTTTTTATCTTTGTGAGAGAGAAAGTGGGCTCACTCAAGGCACATCATACATGTGGAGGTAGAGTGGAACTTTAGGTAGAAGTCCTCCCTGTCCACCTCGTTTTTGACAACATCTGTTTGCTACTATCTATTATCAGTCCTACCAAATTTCATGATTCTCCTATCCCCACCTTTCCCTGCTATAGGAGTGCTGGAATTACAGATGCCTGCTATCACATTGGACTTTGTCCAGTACTTACAATTATAAGGCAAGCACTCTAGCCAATGAACAATGTTCCCAGCCCTCAAAAGCCAGTTTTTTAAAATGTTTATGCTTTCAAACAGATGGCTGTGTAAGGCATTTGATGCATAAATTAGTAACATAAATATTAAGCAATTCTATGATCGGAACTTTGAACAAAATACTGTCCTCTACCTCACTCCTCTTTCTGTCGGGTTGTGTGTGTGTGTGTGTGTGTGTGTGTGTGTGTGTGTGTGTGTGTGTGTGTGTTACTTTGGGGAGGTGTAGTAGGAGGTGAGACATGGTCTCACTTTGCAGACCAGATTAGACTCAAACTTGCAGCAATCCTGAGTGCCGGCATTGCAGGCATGTGCCCTACAAATCACTTTTCAAATGCAAAATGGAATCCCTCCCTAATTCTGTTGTCCTTGAGACATAACATTTTCCCATTCTGTCTTTCATATGGCTATATCACAATCCTGGTTTTCTTTTTCTTTCTTTCTTTCTTTCTTTCTTTCTTTCTTTTTTTTTTTTTTTTTTTTTTTTTTTTTGAAACAGGGTTTCTCTGTTTAGTTTTGGTGCCTGCCCTGGATCTCACTCTGTAGACCACCCTGGCCTTGAACTCACAGAGATCTGCCTGATTCTGCCTCTCAAGTACTGGGATTAAAGGCATGTGCCACCACCGCCCGGTTCACAATCTTGTTTTTTAAGAATTCATCAATGCCCATTCTTCCCAATAACAATTCTTAATATTGGTTCTTCACTCGCACCCACCCCCAGTGTGTGTTTTGTTTAATGTTAAGGGGCAGCATGTGCTGGAAACCAACCCTGCAGGCTTGGGCCTGCCACCTTGAACACTCAGTTTCGACAGCAGCACCGATCTCAACCCCACATACTGCCTGAAATTCTCTTATTCCGATCATGCTCCTCTTCTGAATTCCTTTCAAGTGAAAAACATTAACCTACTCAAACTGCAGTTGAAAGGTTACAGCCTCTTAGGATACATTCTATCTGAGCTTCCTTTTGCTGTATACTCCACTTGCAATTCAGTTTGGGGACAGGTGGTATTTTGAGTCCAGTCAGCTCTGTACCTACAAGTGGAAAAGAATCTTGTCACTTCAAAGGCATCTCTGGCAAATAGTGACCACTTTACTGTCTGGTTCTAAAGAGCGAGACATTACCAGAAATGACTTCAACTTAAATTGTTTCAGTTCAATTATGGGAAGAATTTAAACTTTATTTTAATTTCTCTCTTTTTAATGGGGTTTTGAGGCAGGAGAGCACAATGCAGCCTGGGTTGTGCTCTCAAGACTTAATACACTATTTTCTTAAGTTTCTAAATTTCATTACTCCACACACACAAGTGACCTAAAAATGTTATTCAGTTCTATAAACGGTCTTCTGAATACCTAAGCCTCAAACCCCGGCCTCTGCTCAAGCACACCT